TGCTCGCCGGCGTCAGGAGTGGCGCCCCAGAAACCTGCCCGGGCACGCCGTCTCCCCGGAGCAGCCGGAGACCGGAGGACCGTGGGCTCCCTCCGGCGCAGTTCGTTTGCTTTAACCAGCTTTGTGCGCCCGGTGTCTGGATGTCTCATCCCGGCTGCCCAGAATTTTGAAGCCTGGGAAATAGCAACTGTGCTTTTTTCCTAGAGGATCTGCCCCCCAACCCGGCGTTGCAAATCACAATGAAGAATCAAGACAAAAAGAACGGGGCCGCCAGGCAGTCCCACCCAAAAGGCAGCCCAGGGCAACCGGAAGCAGGAACAGAGGGAGCGCAGAGGCAGCCCAGCCAGTCGGCTCCTGCGACAGAAGCTGAAGATTCCAGCAGCCAGGCTCCTGGGAAGACGGAGGGTGTGTGCCAGCTCGACTGTGCCAGCGGGCAGGGGAGGAGTCTGCCACCTCCGAGCTTCTGGAGTTAGAGGCTGGGGCCACGCTTACCCAGGAGAGGAGTGTAGGGGGAGAGGACTGTGCGGTCCCCGCCCTGTCCCCCGACCGGTAGAGCCTCCCGCTGTAAGCACAGGAACTGAGCTCTTGAGAGAAGGCGGTGGTGGTGGCAGGATTAAACTAGGTGGCAGTCAAAGGAGACACCTTGCGGGCAAATCCAGGTCCCATTAGAAACACCTCAGTCACCAGGGCCCCTCGTATTTGAAGTATTCTGGAACTATCCAAATACCAAGAGAAACGGCCTTGAGGGGAGGGAGGTGTACTGGAAGTTGAGCTCTGTGCCCTGTGCCAGCCCTGTGTGCTGGCAGTTCCTGAACTTTTGAGTGATAGAAATAGTTACATAATTTCACAAGTAGACAGAGGCTTCAAGAAGCTAGGCAGCTTTTTAGAATTATTTTATTATTCTTTTTTCTTTTTTTTTTGGAGAGATTTTCGCTATAGGGCACATGCGCTTACCAGAGAGAGAGAGAGAGGTGGAGAGACAGAAAGCGAGAAATCACCCCCCAGGGGGGATGGTCACGCCGCAATCCCTTCTCCTCCATTCTCCTCTCGGGATCTTGGGCACACATGCGCACGCACCCGGCGTGAGTTTTAAGCCACAGGGTCCGGGACGCGAACCGCGGTCGACTACATGAGAGTCCAGCGACATAGCCATTATGCTAACTGCTGGTTCCCATTTTATTACTATTTTTTAGCGTGCTACAGGGCACCCTCACTCTCAGAGAAAGTGAGAAAGCAAGTCCCCAGGTCTGGGACTTGAACTGTAGTCAGACCCTTAGCCGCTGCATCACCTGCCCCACTAGGCAGCATTTAATCCAGACCGTTGAGTTTGGCAGGGTCTGGAAAACCCCATCCAGTGGTATAACCATCTTTTCTCCATACCCCACTTTCTTACAGGGGCTCAGGCCAAAACTGCTCAGTCTGGGGCCCTCCAAGATGTCTCTGAGGAACTGAGCCGCCAGTTGGAAGACATACTGAGTACATACTGTGTGGACAGCACTCAGGGTGGCCCGGGCGAGGATGGGGCACAAGGCGAGCCCACTGAAGCCGAAGATGCAGAGAAGTCCCGCACCTATGCAGCAAGGAATGGAGAGCCTGAGCCAGTGACCCCAGTGGTTAATGGTGAGAAGGAGCCGTCCAAGGCGGGGCCAGGCACCGAAGAGACTCGGGCGAACGATGAGGTCGGAGACCGAGACCACCGAAGGCCACAGGAGAAAAAGAAAGCCAAGGGTCTGGGTAAGCAGGGGTGCAGCAGCTCGTGAGGCCGAAGGGGAGGCTCGGACCTGGCCTTCCTCAGGGTTGCCTGCTCTGCCAGGAGGCAGAGGGAACTGGCTTCGACCTGCAGAGCGCCCTAGTTCAGTTGAAGCCGAGGGCGTGGGACCACAGCAGAGATGGGCAGGTGGGCGCCGAAATGCAGCCTGCTCTGAGAAAGTGGAGCAGTGCTGTGGGTCCCTGTGCCAGCACCCCGTCTCGTCTCCTCTAGGACCTTGGGTGTGTTTGTTCTCTGGCTTTCCATTTCCATTTTTCTACAGTAGGAAAATTGGGCTACATCAGGGTTAAACGCATAAATGTGTTTACGGGCCACATGAGGACTGAGAAAGGCCTCATTTTGTCCAAAGGGGTTGACTGCCACCTGGTTGATTAGTTGAGACCATGCAGGACTACAGGCGAGTGCAGCCAGACTTTTTTTTTTTTTACTTTTAAGAAAAGCCAGAAACCCAGAGGTATGCTTTCTCTGTAGGTGTTTAGTAGTCGACGCCTAAAATGGTAGGAGCCCAACAAAGCCCGTGACCGAGCTGGATCTGGCCCGTGTGCCTGTGGTCTGCATGTCCGTGCCAATCTCTTGGGACTTGCTAGTGCTGGCATGATCTGTGCTGTGCAGGGCAGCCCTCCGGGAAGGAAGGGGGCAGCTCCTGACCCAGGCCCAGGCGGCAGCAGCCGTTTGATAGCCAGGGGGTGTGGGTCCAAAAAGCTAGGCCAGGTGACAGTGGACCATGTTCTGATCCATATTCCTCTACCTGCTACCTGTCACTGTAATTTGAAGAGGGATTTTTTTTTTTTACCTTTTAAGATCACATGTATTGTGTATGAAAGGTATGTTCATTTTAAAGTTCACTGTCTGGCTACCGGGGACAAGAGTTCATTGTCTCTCAGGGCGGTCTGGCGCTCTCCTTCAGGTCCCGGCTCCGTGGAAGGGCCTTCCTTGCGTTGAGCACTAGCCCTGGCGCACACGTGGCACCTCTCTCCCATTGGTGGTACGGGCTGCGTTCTGCTGGCAGGACCCACGCAGGAGACCCTTGGAGCTGCAGTCGTTGATCAGGAGACGTTGTTGAGCATGTGCTCTATGCTGGCACTTCGTCATTGGGGTTGGACGGGTCCCAGCCCTCATGAAGCACCTGGTCGAGCAAGGAGGGCAGCCAATTGACAAGCAAAATGCAAAGTAAAATTGGGGAGGGTTTCCTCGAGGCTCACAAGTGTGGGCCCTGGCTTGAATAGGGGCCCTGGGAAGGGGGTGCATCCCTTTGTTCCCTGTGCTTTGCAGGGAAGGAGATCACTTTGTTGATGCAAACGTTGAACACGCTGAGTACCCCAGAGGAGAAGCTGGCAGCCCTGTGCAAGAAGTATGCCGAACTGGTCAGTGCACCCTTCCATTGGCACCTCTCTGTGGGACATGAGCAGGCACCTGGCTGAGGCTGCGGATGCAAGGGCAGGCGGGTGGCTTAATTCCTGGTAGCCGTCCTCTGACCCTTTTCACTGTCCCTGCACTAGGGGTCAGTTCTCTCCCAGCCTTTTCAGGGCTAACAGTGAAAGGACAAACGCACATTCCTTGAAAGAGATTTCTCCCAGAATGATTCCCAGGTGGTAGAGCCCTGACTCCTGGCCTGAGCCCAGGTCCCACGTGATCTTGCCTCCACGCCTACACGTGTGTCCCCGAAGTGAGGCGATGCACAGTGCCATTACCATACTTGACAAAACTAACCACGTCCTTTTTTCTTGCTCTGCAGCAGTCTTCCGCTCCCTGCTTCCCTTTTTCCCCACTGGCGGGGACATCGTTTATTGCAGAAACCAGGGTAGTTGTCCTGTACCCTGCTCCACTTCGAGCTCCATCCTCTCTGTGATGGCATTTAACTTATTCCTTCCCACTTACTTCCTGTAAGTGAAGTCGAAGTTAGCTGTAGAAGGTTGACCCAGTCCAGGTTCAGCTTTTGTTTTGCTTACCGAGAGACACATGGGTATGTTTGACAAGGTCACTTTGAGACCCTCCCTGCACCATCTCTCAGCCAGCTAGGAACAGAGGCAGAATCCTGACCACCGCAACACCTTCCCACTCAAACCAGCCGGGCCTTCAGGTTTGATAGAGCGTGTCTGTCTGTGGGAGTGGGCGGAGGGAGAGGGCCGATGCCCTGCTGCGGTCTCCCTGTCTTCCAGCCCGTCTCCTCCGGGGCAGTCTCACCCATGCCCAGCATGTTTCAGGCTGACCAGCCTAGGGGTGAAGCCGCAGTCGCACGTGGGATGCTGCTCCTTTCACGCAGCACCACGGAGACAGCCCAGGTTCCTCTTGGAAACTGAGTGTGGTCCTCCCGCATTTAGTGTTCAGCGCGTTCAAGGGAGCCAGCCGGATCCCTCACTTGTCAAGTTCCTCGTTAAAACCTGATCTAACAGATTCCTCTGTTCAGGGTCATTGTCTAGTTATTTTGGGGTGAAGAATTACTGTTTTAATTCTATTTATTGTTTTTTTAATAATTTTTTTAACTTCTATTTATTTATTTATTTTGATTTGGCCAGAAAGGGACAGCATGAGAGCATAAGAAAGAGGGACCGTGAGAAAGCGAGCAGCAAGCAGCAGGCCCAGGGCTCCGACTGTGGTCAGCCGTGGGGGGTCCAGGGCCCGTTCCACCTGCCGTCCCCTGTGATGATGATTTCTTTAATTTGCTACAGGGCACGTGTGCTTTCCAGAGAGAGGAAGCCACCAGGTCCAGGACTTGAATCTTAGTTGGCCATGAGAGGCCAGCACCTCAGCTGGACTGCCTGCTGGCCCTAGTTTTGAATTTTCATTCTGTTCACATTTATTAACTGGTGTTCTATTCGGGACTTTTCTCATCTGTGACATAGGGACCATCATGCCTGCCTAATTAAATAAAAGATACGAAGAAGATGACTGCTCAGTCTCTGGCACTGCCGGCAGACACACTGGAGTC